TTGCAGCTGCTTGTCCTAAGCCAGGGCAAGGCAGGAAGGAACTAGAACCGAGCTCAACACACATGTCCACAGGATTATGCTCTCAAGACATAGGCTGCAAAATCAGCTGGGTTTTCTTTGTAAATGCAGGAGAATTCTGTCACTCTCCCACTGCGTGCGGCTTTTCTGGAGGTTAGCCAAAGCCAACTGGAACATCTTTACACACGACAGCATCTACAGCAGAGCCTGGGACACGGAGGGGGCAGTTTTCGTGCACTGTTTCCCAGAAAGGCTATTCTGGGATGCCAATAACCATGTGAATATTATATAGCAAACCCCAATGCACATCAACACAAATCAGTAAACACATGTGGACAGCAAGACCTTAGAGATACCCCTCAATACAAGTGTGTGTCTGATTTGACAATACGGCATTAATTTAATTGCTATACAAGTACTTCTAAGATTTTTTTTTTCAATTTATTAGTTCCAGTCACATTCCTGTGCATCATCTCAAGCTTTAACAAAAGTAGCAGGAGTTTCTGTGTCCACATAGGAAAAAGTTGCTCCCTTCTACGAAACGGAAGTATCTGCGGTCTTAGGAATTCACAGATAGGACTGAGTTGGGAGGGAAATGGCAATAAAATAAGATCAGTGAGATATTATGGATTAAATTTACATAGAAACAAAGCACTGAAAATATTAGACAGAAATAGCACTAATAAATGAAAAAGATATGAGGAGTTCCAAGAGAGGGAAGGCTAAGGGTGACCAGTAAAAGGCGGTTCATGGTCATCTCCTACTTCTTAAATGCAGTAAAAATGCTTGTGCAAACGAGGTCAGCTTGGGAACCTGCTTCCTGCTGTACAACTGCACACTGAAGCCTCCACTACTTGAGGGAATGAAACTGTCACACACTCATAGAGCTGCACGTGATGCATTTTATTCATGATAAGCTAGCCTACTTGAAGAAAGTTTCAATAATATACCCATACTTATGTCTACTTCACTTTTTAAATCTTTTAACATATGCATCTTAGTGCAAAATAAGTTCTGAACATCTAGGCTGTAAAACAAACAAAAAAATATACAAAAATAGCAGTCAACTATGTGGCTTACAAGCCAGTCGTTCCACCATCCACTGATTGAGGAGGTGTCTGTGTGTCCCAGTTTTCCACTACCAGTTACATGCGAGTGTTCAACAGGCTTTGCAGACGTTTTGTTATTTAGAATCTATTTTTTAAGTAATGAAAAAAGCATTAATACCACCACAAAACATGGGGTTTTTTTCCTGCATCTTTCTGGATTTAACCAGATTGCTTCTGATTATGGAGCACTTTCAGTATGAACAGTCAGGGTTTTTAAAATGAGGTAAGGAACACAACCGATCCTTTACACCTGGTCCCATGACTCAGACTTTCTGATGTGCAGTTTTGTGCCTCCCGGGCTGCTCTTGGTATCACATCAGAAACGTGACAACACCCCAAGAACACTTCTAGACAAACAACTCAAAGGTAAACTTTGCACATCAAAAATATTCACTGACCTTAATAGCAGAGGAAGGGGTTTTTCAGTAAAGCCTGGGAACATTTGACACACCGGAAAAGACCCAAAAAAGAGATAAAAAACTCATTTGCTACATTTAACTTGAAGACAAAGGTGGCTGCGTCAAACATCAATAAATAAGGAGCTCTCTCAAGACCACCACAGCAAAGCAGTGAGTATCTCTGTTCTTACTTGACTTTTTTGGTAGTTCTTCCTTGGACTTCACAAGAGGAACACTGTGCGTGTGCCCTCCATTTCCTGGGATGAAGCATCAGAATATTCTTATTCTTCTCCATACCAGAAATTGCGCTTATGCACATGAGAACGTGATCCTTGTAGAGAGCTCCAAACCCTCAGACACAGCTACAAAAGGCTCTAGATTGGAAACAATGCCATTAGCCCCACTTAGGCCACCACCAATTAAATAATATTTAACACAGGAGAAAGCAAGCAGCTAATGAAAGGCAGCTGTAATGCCAAGCCTAAGCTGCTCTCTGTATATCAGGAAAAGCTCAGTGCATTCCTTTCGGCTACAAGGCCCCAGACCCTGCATTTCCTGGGACACGGGAGCTAAGCAAGGACACTATTACACCCCTCCTCGCTACCTTGGAGGCCATGGTCATCCTGCCTTATTGAGTGGTGTAAGGTCCTTAGCAAACCTTCCTTTGTGCAGCGTCTCTCTTCCGACTTCGCCTTTTCCAGTGATTCAGATACTCAACTAACAATAGCGACACTAGATCCACTCAGAAGCGGGTGGAATAATGAGCTCCCTTCAAAGACATTAACACATATGGGGAGCAGTAAGTGATCAAGCATCAGCAACAGAAAGAAGCTCTTGGCATCAAGGATCTGCAGTTGTCTGTCAGCTGGGCTGGTTTCCAGCCTTCAGCCCTCACAAACTTTTTAGTATCCCTCAGAATTCCCCTATTACGTCCCGCTCCATAATCTTTACTGCTAGATACTAATATTGCAAGAGCAGCTGGAGGCCGAGTCAAGAGACTGCAGCATTCCATGATCTCCAGCCTGGCTGATGACATGCAAGATTTCAAGATTTCCATAATATTAGATGGTTCCTCAAAACACTCTCTACATGATTTCACATGAATAAAGTAGCTATCTGCATTCGTTTGCAATACCCCTTTATTTAGGGGGAAAGAAAAAAGGGGAGGATGGGGAGGCTTCTTCAATAAATCCATTTTTCTTAGATAACGCTCACTAAAGCAGCAGGAACCTACTGCCAACTTGGTAAGTGCAGGCCGAGTACTTAAGTGCACATTTTCCAGCACATTTTATTAAAAAAAAAAAATAGAAAAAGATCTGATGCTGTAGAGCTAACTCATGTCCCTCCCAGAGGCTGTTTCACAGGAGGACGATGCAGCTCCAAGCTTCCCTGGGAGCCTAGAGAGCGGAGCAGGTCCACACCGACAAGCGGCCGGGTTAACTCGGCCCTTACCTCTTGTCTCCCTCCTTAGAGCGCACCCTGCCTCCAACCTCACGGTTTTAAACTCCAAATAAACGGGTCAGCTTTGGCTACAGATCAGAAACTCAAATGAGAGTTGTGTCTGACAGGTAATTAAGCACTCGGCAGCACGGATGTTAGCTGAGGTGCCCTAAGTACCGTTCATTCCTCCATGAGCTGAGGACTCAAAACTGATAGCCCCAGCATCACGAGATTAATGTATCAACAAACAATGTAGTTGATCTATTGAAAAGCTGTAGTCACCCCCACACACACACATAAATCTAGGTGACAGCCATTTGGCAGTTCACTACGAATATATCCTCGATGCGTCGGTGGGATGAAGCCACAAGCTGAATGGAAAACCAGATACAAGAGCCTGTAACAGCACCTATAGTGGAATAGAAAATTGTCACGTTTAAGAACTGGAAGGTAATAAATGCAGCCATCTCTTGCCTGCCAGGACAGGCTGTCCAGACAGATGAAGAGACATTATGATGGAATTTCAGGAGGTAAAACCCAAACACACAGAAATTAGCATTCTGTAAAATGCCTGACTGTATGAAAAGCCCAAAACAACACTCTTAGTCCATTTCTTTCATTTGTATTTAAGTACAGCACCATCTTTCCAGAGACATCTCTCTCACAGCATAGTTCTTACTAAGATTCAGCAGATAACATCCTGGCCACCAAATCACACTGCAATTTGTTCTCAATGAATTTGCTCTTCAGAATCGGCCAAAAGGTTCATCTTAAGCTTGGACACAGACGACAGTCAAACAACTACACATCATATTTGAGTAGCGTTGGGTAGATGGGTTACAGCGCCCAAAGAAAGCGGTACAGGAAAAAGGGGAAGAATTTTTGCAGCTACTTCCTCTAAAATACCATTCTGATTTTGCAATATCCCCTCAAAACTACAAATAATGTTCATGGTCATGCACTGCGAAGTGCTAGACCTTGGTACGCTCTTCTTAACTTCAGGCAAAGGAAATTAAAGCTAATGGATTAAACTAGGCTTTGCTACAGGCTAAGAACAAATGCCCCATGCACCTCACGATGCACAGTAAGTTTTTAAGAATGATGGGGTGTAACGTCACTTGTGTCCTTTACCTTCCGAACATACGAAGCCCTGGAAAAAGAGCTATTTTTCACAAAATTTTCTTAGAAATGAGAACAGCACACTCGGACCTCCCCAAAGAGGATGGGAGCCATAGAGGCCTGAACCTGCACATAGGGATGCTCAGAGCTTTGACGGGTGAAGAAGCATTTGCTGCCCTGCGTATGGAAGAAATAAGGTACATTTATTAAAAGCATCACACAGATGGGTCCATGGGAAAGGGCCCCACAGAATTTACTAAACAAAAAAACCCAAAAACCCCCAAACAAACAAAAAAACCCATCAGCACCTGTAGTTAAAAGTAGTTAAGATGATTTAACTTGTTGTCCTCACTAAGAAAGACCTGTTAGACCATTCCTAAGAGCTCTGAAGGCCACCGTCACTTACTTGTAGATGAATATAAATCACATCCTCAGGATCCATTATTTTCAAATTAATACATGACACTCCCAATTCAACATGGAAAGTCTCACAAAACGTGTTCTTGGTGACTAATTATTTGACCTCTACTAATTGCCCGATAACATCTCTCCAATGCAAAATGAGTATCAGGCCAACACATCCACCTGCTTCCTACCCGTGCAAGCTTGGCAGTGGGGAAAACGCTTTAGCTGACGGGTAAATAGCAACAATTTCAGAGTCGAATTGGGCTCGAATCCAGCTTTAGGTGCAGGTAGCCCGGAACTGGTTTATCGGATGCATTAGCCATCTCAACGCCGCAATAATAGGCTAAATAGGAGGGGAGATGCTGACTCTGATGCCCGGCGCCCTCCCCGAGGCCTCCAGCGCACGGGCTCGGCTCATCCTCCCGGTGCCCAAGAGCGGGAGCCGCCCGGAGGCCGGGCCTGGGGGCCGCGCCGGGCCGAACCGACAGGCCGCCCCCCCGCCGCCGCTCACCTCGTCCTCCTTGTGGTTGCGGATGCCGCGCACCAGGTCCTGCAGGTTCTTGTCGAACATGCGGTCGATGCTGCCCTTCACCATCTTCAGCGCCATGGCGGCGGCGGCGGCGGCGCCTGCGCCGGGCCTGCGCTCGGGGCTGAGGGGGCCGGGCCCG